TTCAGCAAGCAGGGTTGTGTCATCTGCATAACGCAGATTGTTGATAAATCATCCACCAATCTTGACCCCACATTTCTCCCCAGAGAGCCCAGCTTCCCAGATAATCTGTTCTGCATATAGGTTGAAAAGGTATGGAGATAGGATGCATCCCTTGCATATACCCTTCCAAATTTTGAACCATGCAGTGTTCCCTTGCTCTCTTCTGATGACTGCCTCCTGGTCCGAGTATAGGTTTCGCATTAGAACGATCAAGTGTTCTGGGATTCCCATTCTTCTCAGTCAGCCATAGATTCCATTAGAAATCTATAAATTAGCAGACCACAGTAAAACTATCTCATAGGGTTTCAAGGACTGTAATTCTCTGCAGAAGAATACTTCTCCCCCTAAGGAGCAGTTAGTGGCTTTCTACTACCAAAATTTTGGTTAAGAGCCAATGGCTTAACCATTGCACCATGTCTCCTTGAGCAATTTAAATTTTCTACATACACTCAGGTCTGACTAGTCCCTACAGCCATTAACTTGGACAAGTATGCCCAATTCATCTCATAGCTTAATAGTTATTTTTTAAAAAAGGTACTTGTACAGACATCTGATCTTAAGTATCTGTTCAAGTTCTGCTTAAAATGGTATCTTTATATCTTAAGTTTATGAGAAAGTTTTATTTTATTAATTCCTAGGATGCTTGTTCCAAAAGTAACAAGTATCTAGGGATTTACGTCACATATTGCCAGTTACTACTGAGTTTACTGCAACTCGTGGCAGTCTCATATACTCAGAATAGAAATGCCCCACAGAGTTTTCAAGGATGTGACTCTTTTTAAGGATGTGACCTTTTGAAAACAGATCACCAAGCCCATCTTTCAAGGTACTTTTGGGTGGGATCAAATTGCCAATCTCTCAGGCAGTAGTCAAGTGCTTAATTAATTATTTGTGCCAACTAGGTAGTCAAGTCACATATGAAGGTATTATACAATTGCACTCAAAATGTACTGCAATTTTACAATGAGTGTGTGTTATTTCTGTGTCGATGTACATACATAAATATATATATACACACATATAAACCTCACCACATTTACACTAATATTTAACTGCATGAGGGAACAAGGTAAACATTTTTATTTATAACTTTGTACAATCTAGATTATTTTGAAGAATAGCAAGCCTACAAATTAAATGTTAATTAAATCCATACCTAATATCCCAGTATTGACACCATCTTCATTCTTCAGATTCTCAGCATGCAACTCTGTAAGTGCAAATAGGGCCTTAATTAGAAAATAAGAGAACTTTATGATTTTAAAAGTATTAAAAGACTAGAAAGAGTGTGGAAATGTACAAAGAACTGGGTTCAAATTCTGATTCAACTGACTAGTGACTTTTAGGGAGCACTAAGACCTCTGAGGGAATATTTATTCATTCTGAAATAATTTTAAATAATTCAAAGACATACTAGGTCTTAGTTCAGTTCCTTTCTTCATTATGTAAAATTTATAAGTTTCATGGCATTATGATGCAAAAATAGGTAGCAGAGAAGATAAAATAGCTATGAGATGAAACTACTTCCCAGAGTTGCTGTGAAAAAATAAGGGGGAAAAGAGGAGTGATGATAAAATGATACATTGGCATTTATCCCTAAGAGCCAATCCAGTCTTAGAGCATCAAAATTCACATATTAACTTCTTAATCTGTCTTTTTATAATCAAACACTGCAAGATTTTAGATGCAACCAGCATCTCAAAAGGGGCTGGATAAAATTGGGGGGGGGGGGGCAGACAGAACAAAACCCAAACCACAGTTAAGCAAACCTGACACTGAAAGCAGCCCAGAAGCATGGTCATTAAAGCACAAAGCCACCAACTGCTCCTAGAGAGAAAGACTTATTTCTGTCAAGATTACAGCTTTATCAGATGGGGCCGTTCTACCTTATCCTATTTGGTCACTAACGGTTGGAACCAATATGATGGCAGTGGATTTGTTTAATGATGTGAAAGTATACTTTTGTATTGCTGTGTGTTTTGGAACACAATCTAAGGTCTCTTTCGTTTTGTGAGGTGGGGTGGTGGGTGGGAGGGCAGGTAATTTTGCCAAGATAATCAAAACTGATATTTAAAAGTAGGTGATTCTCTGCTTTAATATGGAGTACCCATCACTTATCAAACTGGGTGTAGCCTTTGGGCAGCTGTACTGAGGGCAACTCTATGGTGGTTTTAATCCACCAGCTCCCAATACCTCCCAAAAACCAGCTGGAGGCTCAGCTGAGTCAGTTCAGAGTCTATGGCAATGAGCTCCTGAATCTAACAGCAACTACAACTACATAAGTCTCTGTAAAACATTTCAAAACCCATCTGTTTGTATTCTAATTTGGCAAAATTTTTAAGTCACTAGGGAGAGGGGAAAAAAAATTAACCTATGGTTGTTTCAGTCAAACTTTAAAACTGAAAGCTTATTTTACCAATCCAAGCACAAATCTGGCTGTTATACAGAATTCTTTGTTTTTCAAGAATTTTGAGCAGGCGGGGAAGGCCTTGAACTTCTACCTCCCTACTGCCTCAGAGTTGAACAGGTGAACGTGTAAAGCCTGATTTACAATTTACACCCACTTTTCACCATCTCCTTTTAATAATAATGGTTCTGAATCTAATTCTGCCACTGTTTAATTTCAAAAAATCACTTTAAGTATTAGATCTTACAGGCACACATTTAGTTGTGAATTCTTTTGAAAGAGGGTCTAATGGTCATAGACCAGAGGCGTCAACCTTGGAGAAAACATGACAAAGCAGACAAGAGAAAAGACAGGAGCAGACGACTGAGTTAAGGGTGCTGGCAACTTGCCACTTAAAAGGGGGCAGAGACAGAGGTGACAGCCGCGCCTAGGTCCAACTTCTGCTCTGCAATGTGTTTCAGTACCTTTTACGATCAGGTAGGCGATGGCAAGAAGGAAGGCGAGGAGGGCGGCGAAAAGCAGCGAGCAGAAGACAGAGAGGACCTGGACTGGCCACCGCCGAGCCGGAGCTCGACTGCTCGCAGTGGCCACAAAGATGCCATTACGCTTCTCGGGCAGGACCGGCGACCCGTCCCCGTTCGGCCGGAGCAACGAGCCCTTTCTGGGCTCCGAAAACGCCCCGGCCGAGAATTCCGCTCGAAGGTCTCGGGCCACTTGGTCGCACTCGTCTTCCCCGTCGACTTCGCCCTCAACCCAGCCGTGCCCTTTCGAGATGGAAGAATACCCCGGCCGAGAAAGCGGGGCTGGAGTACCACGACGGCGGTGCCGCGGAGCCAAGAGGCTCCCGCTCTCCACGAACGACATGGCGGGAAAGACAGCGAGGCCCGCGGAGGGGGAGTGGCTGCAACGCCGGACCCTCGGCAGCCAATCAGCGCCCAGGCCCGTCCGCGGCCTCCACCACCCGCCGCGGCCGCGCAGGGGTGCGTCAGTGCCCACAACGGGCGGCAAGCGAAGCCTGGGGCCTCGCTAAAGAAATCGAGCGCTCCCGAGCCAGAGACTGACAGCCAGAGCCGTCATCAGAAAGGGGAGACGAATAACACGCAGAAAGAAGCAAACCGCGACCCAAAGCAGCCAAGCGCCTGGCCCCTGCAGCGTTTCCTTGGGCCGGAGGCCTCCACTACCGCCGCGTCACCCAAGGCAGGCGCGCGACTGTTAATCCCAGTGCCGCATCTTCCCGATGCCCGGTCCTAGCGCCCGTCTATGCCGCTGCGATACACACTCCTGAACCTACTTTCCTTTCTCCCTCGGCTTGCTTCTTCCTTGCTTTTTTCCCTTAACTGCAGCTATCTGCCAGCTGTTCTTGTGTCACCTTTCCTCCAAGCCCACAGCCCTCCCTCGCCCAGGATGCACGCCCCACCCCGACCTCACCACACCTAGATCCCTCCTTCCCCACCCCTCCCCCCTGGCCCCTCCCTCCGCCTCGAGCATGGCGCGCGCGCCATCTGGCCCCAGACACCGCTAACGATAGAAGCTGCTTGCCCCCCCCACACACACCCCCCCCCCCCCGTACCCAAGGCGGCCTCAGGTTTGTGGGGCAGACGTAACGGGTGGGGGCGGTGAAAGCCCCTTTGCCCCAGCCCCTACGGGGTGAGGCAGTCTAAGCTCGGAAAGCTGGGACAGTGTTCTCTTCTCTTCGTTGGGGGAAGTTGGTGGAGTTTTCCCTGCAGAAGAATCGGCGCAGAAACTTCCTCCGTCCCCCTCCCACCCCTCCATGCAGGCGACGCCAAGTGAGGCTGGGGGCGAATCGCCGCAGAACTGCGTTCCGGCGGCACAATCTGATTGGACTGCGGCGAAGCCTGTCAGTTTATTAGACTCGCCAGTCCCTCCCCGTAGCGCCGCTCAGCCTTTAACCTTTGGCCCTGGCGGACGCCAGCCACTCAGATCGCTTCTTGTTGGTATGTGTAGCGGCAGTGGCCGCCGGCGAAGCAGTCTGAGCCCGACGATGAGGCCGGGGACGGGAGCCGAGCGTGGAGGCCTCATGGTGAGTGAAATGGAGAGCCATCCTCCGTTGCAGGGTTCCGGGAACGGGGAGCGGAGATTGCCCGGCTCAAGCCTTTGCTCCAGCTCTTGGGTCTCTTCTGACGGCTTCCTGAGGAGACGGCCCTCGGTAAGGGATCGGTGGGGAAGGGAGAAAGCGGCACAATGAAAAGCGGAGTCAGAGACAGGAAGCTTTCTCCAAAAGGAGAAGAAAATAAGAGTGGACGAAAGAAGAGCCCGGGATGGTGGAATAAGCCCCCAGTAGAGGGGAATAGAGAATGGGAAACACAAAGGGAAGGATGTAGGACCCTGGAAGTTCCCGGTGGGCTTGGCCTAGGCAGAGGCGTGGTGATGCGGGCCTTGGGCGGGGTAAGCGTCTCGGAGAGCTAGGGCCCTCTTCAACAGGAAGGGGAAGGCGGAAACTTGGTTTTGTAGAGTTTGAAAAACACTACTGAAACTTGTTTTAGCCAATAGAGGTGTGTTCTGCAGTGAGAGAATTGTCAGAGTAGCTGTCTAGTTTTCAGAACTGGACAATGGGCACATGGTTGAAGAAACTCGTTCTCTTTAGAAGTGTCAAAGTGAAAGGGCTCATCAGTTGCTTTTGATGTCTGAGCTCAGACTTTGGAAAAAAAATCGAGGAGTGTATCATGTATCTTAAAGGTTACGTTAGACAACACGAGGTTTGTTAATACTGAAGTTTCACTGTTTTCATTTTGTTCCTTACTAGCGTATCGCACTGGTATTTACTCTATTTACTAACATTTACTCCAAGTTGAAAAAGCGGAATAATAACTAATTAAGTCACCGCATAGTTTTCTTTTGAAATTGATTAAACTGCACCTTAATGATTTTCACCTTTTCATTTTCAATAATTTGGTGACAAGTTTTGGGTTTTTTTTAATAAAT